TTTTTGAATTTTTATTATGTTTACAAAAATTATTAAACTATTCCGCATATTGAAACAAAATCGAATTTTAAACACTGAATACATGTAATTTCTGAGATCAAATTTTCGGCGATACATAACGATAACCCCTAATGTTAATCTACTAATCCAGTGTTATACGTATATATATTATTGTTATATAAAGATTAGGAATTACAGTTAAAATCGGCCTGTACTATGCTGATCTGCTCACCTATACCTATATCATACTGATTTCCAGGTATATATCAGGGTATTAATTTTAAAAAATCCATAGCAATGCACTTTGATAGTTTGTTCAATTTGTCGTCATTGATCATTTTAGACAAACTTGTTAAAATCCTTAATATTGTTACTTAGTTATAATACGAGTTAATACAGTATCGGGTATTTATTTGTTAAGTAAAATATTCCCGTGATATTTAGGCGATGCTGCGGTAACTTGATTTTTTTGGAAAAATTTATGATTTTGCCAAAATTTTCGATTTCTTTCTATCGCCATATTTCGATCCACAGTAAGAAAAGATTTGATACAGTTATAAATCGTCTATTATTACAAAGTCAGTTAAGAAAATTATTACTGAATTGTTTGTTAGCTACTCTCAACATTTAACGTGTTTGTTTATATCTTCTTATCTATTCTACAAATTTCTACAAATTAGATGTCGGAAGAACAGTATACTAGTTTGATAACTCAGCTAGAAGAACAAATCAAATTATGTTCTACGATCGCAGCATATTACCTTAGATCTGGAAACAAAAATCAAGCGATTGCTTTTCTTCGCTATAAAAAATCTTTCTCCGCTGATTTAACTTCTTTGAAATCCTACCAGAAGCATAACAAAGATATTCCACCTTTCCATTATCGAGACGTCACATATAATATTGAAAATTCTTTTTTGGAATTATCGACCAATGATATGGAAGTTTGTATTGAAAGGGCATGGAATTTGGGAAACAAAGAGGTTAATGGAAAAGATGTTGAGGCTTATGTAAATTGGGATATTGGGTGGCCAACCGAAGGTAGTTCGGGTGCTGGCAGTGGAAAAGGTGACACATCTGTTGCCAAGAGGAGTATGGATCCAGGTAATAAATCTTTTTATATAGTTAGTGTTTTACGCTTTTTGCTTTCCATTTATTTACTATTTATTGTTAATATTATTGTTAATATTATTGTGGAATTATTATGGATTAGAATTTAATTATAAAAAAATAATTAGCATAGAACGAACAAAATCATTTCAACGATTTATCAGTAGAAAAAAGGCTACCTTTGAAGTATTTCATTATAGAGGATTTTTGCGAAGAGCTATTTCTTTAGGAAAAGCTCAATTAAAATTAGATTCTCTGGCTGGAAAAGCTGAAATTCACGAAGTTCTTGATGTACGTACGTGATACTGTTTATTTATCACCAATAATTGACAAAAGAGGTGACATCTTTACATCTTTTACCAACTTACAATTGCATCAGCTTGTGGACAATAATCGTAAACCAACAGGTGGCAAATTGGAAGTTCGGTTACGTTTAAGGTCTCCCTTACTTAAGCCGGATATTATACAAAAGACTGAAAAGTGGTTGGTCGTTCATGGTTTCAACCTCAATAACCCTATAGCAAATACTCAAGTTTCGGCACCATCACCTGAAGTAGCATCCGTTAAATCCAGCTCCGTTACACCGCAATCAGATCCACTAGGAGTAAATACTCAAGTTTCGGCACTATCACCTGAAGTAGCATCCGTTAAATCCAGCTCCGTTACATCGCAATCAGATCCACTAGGATTACCGACGGCGTCTGATCCTTCTACACAAAAAAAAGGATTACCAACAGCATTGGATCCTTCTACACCAATAAAAGGATTACCAACAGCGTCGGATCCTTCTACACCAATAAAACAGCAAACACCTGCCAAGTCTAGTACTCCAAGTGTTAAGAAGACTTCAAACACGATAGCTAACACGCCAACTCAAGTTCATAACAAACTACCATCACAGGTATCAACACCTGTGTCAAAACCTAATCCATCTGTGATTAACGGTAAAGACACGCAATCATCATCACAATCATCAACTATTGAAGAAAACGAGCTGGAACTCGTAGAAGATCAATTAAATAAGTAAGAAAATTCTGTGATAATGGCATTTATACATATATACATTATATAACAAATTTGTATATATATATATTTTTTTTTTAGTGTTGATTTAATTGTGTCTAGTGGCTTGCTCCAAGAAGAAATTAATATTGTAAATTCACAAATATCGGCATTGGAAGCACGAGGAAAACCTATTCCCGGTGATTTGTCTGATCGAAAGTCTGCACTTGAAATTAAAATGAGTTTGATGGAAATTCAAGTGCAAACAGGCCAATTAACGATTGATAAATATTTGGAACAAGTAAAAGATAGTATTACTAGTTTCAAAACATTGGCTTTAACATTTAAGAAAGCTGGTAAAATTGAAGATGCAAAGAAAGCACTTGTAAAATGTAAAGTAATGGAAAATGAAGTAAAACAAATGGAAGAGGCTATGGCTGGTGGAGGAACGGACGATAATTTATAATTATTTTAACAATGCATATATTCATTTCATGGTTATATAGGATTGGGCAAAAATTTTTTTTTAAGATAAAACTCATAGCTTATGCATATAATAATACCGCAAACACTATTAAATTATAAAATTACATATTTACTGACAGAAAGTTCGGGAATAAAATATCATTTTGAAAAGTTACAAGAAATTCAAAATATCTTTACGTTCGTTGAAATATATTGATAAGTGATTTAATACAAATATTTGTTAATTACATTAATTCATGTCTGCTTACGACCAACAATAAGAATTTTTTATTTCATCGAATTCTAAATATCTTCGTTGATTATTATGTCTTTCATGTATTTCAATCTTTCCACTTTCCAAGAATTTTTTCCCTATAATCATTAACCAAGGATACCCAAGAAGTTCAGCATCTTTCATGCGGTATCCAAATGTTAAATTCATACGATCATCGATCAAAATTTCACCATTCAACCCATCACATTCAGAAGTTAGAAAATCATATAAAGACCGAGTTTTTTCAGTAATCTCTGGATCATCACCACTTGGAATGATACACACACGGTATGGCGCGATTGACGGTGGCCATATTATTCCTTTTGAGTCATGTGATGATTCGACAACTGCAGCAATTATTCGTGAAATGCCTATACCATAACATCCCATTTGGATTGATAGTAATTCACCATTATGGCGTGGATTTTCAGGTGCAAATGTAGCTTTTAATGGATCCGAATACTTTGTTCCTAAAAGAAATGTATGACCAACTTCTATTGCACGATTGCTTGTAAGTGGATGAAAATTACCAGAATCGTGTGATGTAATAGAGTTTCTATAACAAACAGGACATCCATTATTGATGTCACGAATACATTCTTCATTAGATGTGTATCCACATCGAATGCATGATAAAATCGAATCTTCTCCAACTAAAATAAAGTAATGTTAAAATTGCTGCATAAAATTATCAAACAGGTGAAAAAAAACAATTTTGATTCACCAGGTGACAAAAAATGAAATTCATGTGATTTTGTTCCACCGATAATGCCAGTATCAGCTTCGGCCTATATACCTCAAATCGATCAAATATTTCAATTCTTCGATTTTTTTTTACTTTTAATCCGATTTATTTACAAGATTAAATACTAATACTGACGACAGCAAACGGTAATCCAATCCGAGTAAATATCTTTTTATATGCTTCATTAACTTCCTCATAGGTTTTTAAGGCAGCCTCTTCAGTAACGTCAAATGTATATAAATCTTTCATAATAAATTCCCGTCCACGAAGTAAACCCGCACGTGGTCGCATCTCGTCACGAAATTTTTTGCCTATGATAAAATTGACTGATTAAATTTAAATTTCAAATATTAACATTAATGATTTATTTATAAATTACCCGTTTGATATAATCGTAACGGAAGTTGTCTGTAAGAAAAAACGTCATTTGCAACCAGCTGTGTAATTTCTTCTTCATGCGTTGGAGCTAGACAAAAGTCAGAAGCCTTACGATCCTTAAGCTTAAATAGCTATCGCAGTTTATTAAGGAAAAGGAATTATACAATCAATCCCTTGAAGCATATAATATATAGTTTTACACCTTCGATAAACAAACCTCGCTCCCAGTAACATTCCATCTCCCTGTTCTCTTCCATGTATTGGCGCTCGATAAAATAGGAAGGGATAATTTCTGGGCGCCTTGTTGTTTTTATAGAAATTAAATGATAACCCATTTTTACTAAAAAAAAAAAAAAAAAAAAAATTTAACGCAGTCTCAAGCATACCAATGTTTCTCATTTCCTGATCTATGATTTTTTCAAGTTTTTCTAGAGAACGTAATGCGAAAGGTAACAAAGAATAGATGCCCGATGAAGACTAATGTTTACAGAAGGATAATTTCTTAAAATAAAGATCGCTATAATTTAGAACTGTAGTCCAACCAATTTATCCGATACATATACCTGCCTTATAAGACCGGCACGAATCATTAAATGATGACCTTCTCCTTTAACAACACCATCCTTTTCAGTTGTTGATTCTTCTTTCTTGTCTTTTATGGATTCTGGAACGACGTGGTCATTTGTAACTGGAAGGAAGATTTTGGATAGGCATGTTCTATTATCGTAATTCTATTTTAGGAACAGAGAAATTTTAAGATATATATTATGAAAACTCGTGAGGAATTGAGAAGGGTGTATGGAGACGCACAATGGAACTATAATTGAGGCAATGTTTTGGAGCATATTTTGATCTTGTTAAAGATGTTCTGAACATCGTTAAAGATCAAAATTGATGATTTTCGGATTATATTATCGTTATGCTGATTATCTAACATTAAGGTTATCGTGTACAACATAGTGATTCACCATGATTTGCTGTGTTTCACGAGACACCGAAATAATTTTCAAGTTCGTTATTTTTAACGATAATTATATACTATATGTATATATAAAACAAAAAAAGAAATTTATGAAACAGTTATCCACGATCAACAGACTCAGATACGTAAGAAATAAATTTATTACGTTTTGCAAAATTTTGTAACCTCTTATCTTTTTTATTTATTCTTACTCGTAATTCGAAATAATTATGTAAGTACTCTTCAATAATCCATATGACTTAAAAACTCTCAGTGCATGAGCAGGCCAAAGGCTTGTTTCTATATAATTGAAATAATAATTTAGGTGAAATAAATTTATCGATGTTTTCGGAAATCTATAATCTCAAATTATATGATTAAAAAATTTGTACATTTTTAAAATGCTAAAACTTTTTACACGATCGAAAATTTTAAAAAACCAATCAGGTAAATTTATAAAGTTTAATATAAAAAAATAAAGTTACCGCATCTACTTTAAAAGCACAAAAATCACACCAATGCTGAAACACATGGCAAATTCTAATCAACGACAATACAGCACAAAAAACGAAGAAGTCGCACGATGAAATACACCGATAAAAATCCAATAATAACGACACAAAGCGAAGAAATCTCCATCAACGACGATGCTACTATAAAGCCTGAAATCTTCATCGACGGCAACATCAGAAACGACGAAATCCCAAACTTGATATTTCCACCGAAACGATGAAATTACACCAACAACTCGACTTCAACGGTGACAAACCAGTAAACGATAACTATAATAAAAACAACACTAACAAAAAAATATCAATAATAACAAAAAAAAACTAATAATAATACAAATAATATTAAAATGCGAAATTATTATTATTAAAATATAATAAAATATTTACCTAGAGGGGATACTTAGTTTTAGCTAAACAATTAGCCTACTTGTTCTAGTTACCACATAAAGGTGTATCCCACGACTGGGTTTATAACAACCCATAGTTGTATCCTATAAGGATGTACGCATGGCAGGTACAGTATATAACCATCCAAGCAAAATACTCAATTCGACCTAGAGTTAGATGCTGTATATATTAAGCTTAAGGCTGTATCTACGCTATCACCATTAGTATACTTGACCGTTCAGCTTTTCTGCTGCTTAAGAAAGAAACGTTTAAACAGGAAAACCAAAAAAGCTTACGAAAAAATCTATTCTAAAGAAAAACGAATATAAAAGATTGTTCCCTTAACTGTTTCCAATTAAATTTTCTCGGAAAAACAATGTCATAAAGGACCGTCGCTTTTGGCTCATTTAGAATGGTTAATGTTTTTGATATATAGTAGTGGATTTAAAAAATATCAGAAAAAAGGTATTCTTATATACTTTTTTTTTTATACTGACACGCTTATTGTTTTTTGATACGTGTATGGTTGACAAATTCGATTATTAGTCACGCGTTTCTGCATCCCGAAACCGGTTTGGCTGCAGATCATAGGCCGAGATTTACAAGTGATCATTAATCCAGTGTGGATACGAAAAGGGTGAAATTCGCGTTTTTTAGGATACCTTTTGATGCAGATCTACTATTAATGGGTGAGGCGGTGGTCTGTATCAATGCTTCAATAACGTAACCGCCTCTGACGCGGGTTTCATCATAATCCTTACGTTATTTTACAATACAGTATTACTGTATTAAAACATGAAAACTTCAAAAAAAAAAATTTATGTATGTTGGAATGGAATTATTATGGATTTAGAATTCACCTAGGTTGATTCCGAATAAACATACAGCAGGTTGTAATAGGATTCTAAAATGTACCCGAGTCGTTAAAGAATTCCAATTCAACTTACAACGAAATTAAGTGTATTCTAAATTATTTCATCGGATACGTTGTTTTGGAATTTAAGTTGCTTTAGAATAGGGTTTATTCATAACACAGCGCATTGCAAATTATTTCAATTTATTACGTAAAAGTATTGCATGAAGTTTTTTACATCTATTATTAATGAGATGAAAACTACTTTCACAGGGTCCATTCAATTTTTTTACATTTGTAATTTCTTTGTCACACGCATTTTTGCAATTGCATCTAATATTACCTACTTGTGATGAATATTGCATAATAGACGCTTCTCGAACATTTATGAACATTGAAGAAATGTTTTCAACGCTGAAAACATGGCGAGACCCAATAAACACAAGTAGGTCTGAGTCAAATTTAATAAGTTGTATTTTAAGATCGCGTATTGCATTCCCTATTATTATTATATTTGCTGGATCTTGTAAAATCTTAATACAAAAAAGTTCAACTAGAAATTAAAAAAAAGTTAGCTATTTGATTAGTAACTTTAGTAACCATGTTTTTTTTTGTGCGCATTAAAAATTCAGACGAATTTTTTTTATTTTTTTTTACTTTAAGAAGTCGTTTCTAACTGAATATTGAATTATAAAAAGTTAATAATTTATCGCAGTTTGCAAAATGCAGTCCACATTTTAGGATTATCATTCTGGCATTCTTTCGAAACTAAAAATAATGTTTGTACGAATTTTTATTTGTGCAATTTTACGTTCTTAAAAGTATCAAACTTTTGCTTATGTATGTTTGAATACTTTTAAGAATACATTGTTCTAGCCTCGAAGAAGTATTAGAAACAACATTAAAAATAATCTCTATTCAAAAAAGGAAAGCTTCGTTTAAATTTTAAAATGTAGTTTATCCTGTCGAAACTGACATGTGTGGTAGATCAGTTTTAAAAGGTTATCTGATTTAAGAAATTTAATTACTATCTCAGACACAGTAGACTGATTTCTTATCGATTTTGATGGGTTATCAGTTTTGACAGAGTATATTGTAGTAAGGATTGAAACGGGTGGGTCACTTAGATAATTCGGGTGGTAATAAATCCCAACTTGGTCATCCGCGGGTGTTACCTGAGTGAAAATATAAAGTTAAAATATAAGGGTAGTCATTGTGTATAATTGATGATCTGATTTGTTTACCTAAACGGATATGTACAGTCGAAGTCAAAAGATTTAAGTAGATAAATACGACATTTAAATTACGAATATACCCAGCCACGTATAAGATCATATATAAAGTGAAGCATAAAATATTAACTGAATTAAGACAAAATAGTGACAGAAAAAATCCATAATCTGGTGATTTCTGTTCGTTCTGAATCTCAACTGCACAATGCAGTCAGAATGTAACATTAACATAGATACGTACAAATTTTATGCAATTAGATATCGATATATTAATATTGATCGTTTATTGGGCTACAATCACTCGATCGCGAATTAGATTACAAAATTTAGTTATTTTTATTACTATCTATATTAGCGAATCAATTAAAAAAAAAATAATAATCAAGATGTTTCAAGCAAATCTAGATTTTAAATTTAAATCTTACGGCTAATGCTAAATCTAACACATCTGATTGTTGGCTAATAATACACATTCACAAATTCTATTTATTTAATCTACAAAATTTTACTATTTCTATGTTTACACAATTCTATTTATCTTTTTGTACGTTATGGGGTTGTCGCGAAAATCACATAGTTCAGTAATAATTTTTTCCAGTATCTTCAGTCTTATTCGTAAATAGCCTATTTTTAAAAAATAAAATAAAATAAAAAATGAATAATTACGTCATCGAAAAATTAAGTAGGGACGTTCACATAATTGCGGCCACGAAGAGCTTCCAGTTACTCGATTTTATGTATCGCGTTTTACCACCAGTGGTTATTACTCGATTTAGCTCACCCGACCATATTAAGGAGTAATTACCTTAACCAGTCAGTCCCGCGAGCACTGACCAAAATAATAAACCAAAG